ATCACATCTGAGGTGAAACAGTACTATGAGGCACTGTTTTTATCATACAGACCTCGGACAACAGAATGCAGTATTTGGCAGTTTTGCAATACAAATTGCTATCATTCAATATTCAGGACGATCGAAGCACGCGTTGGCTTTAGCTAAACCGCTAAAAAGAATTTCCAAAATNTGTTATTGGTTTAAATTTGATTGCTTTTATCATTAGTATAGAAACGAAGGCTTTGCTTTTAGCTCTAGCTATATATAATATATAGATTTAGCCGGGCTAAAAGCGAGGCTCCCATTAATAAATTTATAATTTAAATCAAACAAAAAACTTGTATTCCACGATTCAGTTAAATTTTGAGCACATCTATGTGACTTTTCAGGGAAAGGCTAAGTGATTTTATACAAAAATAATTTGCAAACAACCCCAGAGTGAACCAAATCTTACATCGAATTGATGGCCTCACATGTACACCCAAAAACTGGCGATCGTCTTCGATCACATTTTTTAAGAGCCATAATGGCTCTTAATCACCGTAGGTTAATTAGGCCTGGAAAAAAGTTCCGGCCGAATTTTTTTGCGTTCGACAAGTTTACTTTACAAAATCTTGCCAACAAATCTGGGTGCGTGTAAACCAACCTTATATATCATTTATACATCACATCTGAGGTGAAACAGTACTATGAGGCACTGTTTTTATCATACAGACCTCGGACAACAGAATGCAGTATTTGGCAGTTTTGCAATACAAATTGCTATCATTCAATATTCAGGACGATCGAAGCACGCGTTGGCTTTAGCTAAACCGCTAAAAAGAATTTCCAAAATCACCTATACGGCCAGCCGGTTCTGACTTTTGCAGTGCTAGCTGTGGCAAGTGTTTGAATGAACATTAACACAGTTAAGCTCCAATACAATAAAGAATTTATTATGTTTATTTTCTATTTGAAAATGGTTTAACGCGCGGCATTTTGAGTACTCTGGGAAGCGTTGTTCACTGAACGACTGAAAACAATCAACACAGCTAGCGATTAAAATTACAAGAGAGACTACTAATAATCAATAAAAGAAATATAATTCGGTGAAACATATACAGAGACGACAATTTTCATTCAATAAGACAAGTATTAAAGTGTCTCAAAAAATCCTGAGTCTTCGAGCTTAAAGCTGAAGTTTTTGTTTTAAGCCGGCTTCCCGGTGTTTGCTTTTTTCAAAGATGAACTCGAGGCAAGAAAATCGCTCAAAGCTTCTTTTACAGCCAGAATTATAACTAAAAATTCTTTGGAACGTGTTCTTTCTATTTGTGGTGAGAAAATGTCCAAAGGCTTTTTAAAGATCTGTAAGCTTATATAAACATGATACTCGGTCAGATCATTGTCTCAAATCTTACAAACGTGCATAAACAAAATAGCCGCATAAACTACGCTCGACTTCATTAAATTAGAAATAAAAAACAAACATCAAATACCATAATTACTAAGGCTTACCACTCAAGATGCAGCTCCTCAAAGGTATCAAGTAAGGCCAGTATCGCTTCAGCCTTTGAAACCCTCTTACGCATTAAGCAAGGTGAAAACGAAAACGATGCCATCCGAAATCGGATTTCCAACTTTGACAAGTGACGTATTTCTCAACCAAAAACCCAATAAATAAACTAGCGATGAATAACAGAAGACTTCCGATAGCAGCTGAATTTGATTTTGTACATCCAGTGGAAAAAGACAGTTTAAAAAAATCACAAGTTGACACAAAACTCTGTCAGCTTCAGCTGTCAAAGTAAACAAGATTCAAGATGCTGCCTAAATTTTCCGCATGAACTCACCTGTCAAATTTTGACCAATCAGAGTATAAAAATTGGACGTAGAACGTGACCAACGCGTGAACATGGTGAGAAAAGTCAAAAGCAACTGTCTTCCCTGCCTGTAGCAGCTGACTGAATTTTCGCGTCCGAGGTCAGTTTGAAATCAAAATTTTAATTGTGCGGCAAATAAATAATTTTTTTTTTAAAAAAAGTAAACTTGAGCCTGCGATCATTTGAAAACCAGTACCTTGTCACCGGATAACTTCAAAAAAATACTTGACCTCGATGGGTCGACACCTGAGCCCGCGATTCGCTCAAGTTGACCGCGGCAGGATTAGCTCAGTCGGTAGAGCGCTTGACTGCAGAGCGGGAGGTCGCGGGTTCGATTCCCGGGGCCGGACCAATACTCAGGGTCTTAAAAATAACTGAGAAATGAAGGTACTTCCTTTGCCCTGCAGGCGGCTGGACCTTCGCGTGGCTCGGATGACCACGTAAAATGGCGGTCCCGTCTCCATTAGGAGACGTAAAATATATGAGGGCCACAAGTTTATTAGCTTTTGGCTATTAAGTGCTACCCTCTTTAAATAAAGGCTATTTTTTTTATTAAGTCATACTGGTCAGCGGATACCTTGTTTTGACAGCTGTCAATTGATTACAAAATTGATGTCCAATATGTGTATCAGTTTTCCTGTGCTCCGATCCCAAACTAGCTAAAAAGTATGAGATTGAACATTGTTCGCGATCTAGTAAAACGATTAACTGGTCAGCGGACAGATTCCAAATAAATCACGGCACCTCGATGAGTTGACACATGAGCCTGCGATATGGTCATGAGATACTGGTCAGTGGCTATCCTGTTTTGACAGCTGTCAATTGACCATATTGTGAATGTCATATATAAAAGATGAGGACTTGCCAAAACACGCCTGAGACACCCCTCCCTTCCTTCTGATAGTCTCCCCTACCCTACCCGTACAATCTGTAGACGCGTACGTTCGTACGTACGTACGTACGCTCGGTCAGTCACGTGACAACCAAGCGAAAAGAGGTTGACCATATTCCATGAGTATGGGGCTCTGTCCCACGCGCGCTTCGCGCGCGGGAGCCCCGCTATTAATAAAATAGAATGAAAACAACAACAACTACAACAACAACAACAACAAAACGAGGGTTTATCAACGCGTTTTTTTACGTTGTCAGTTTTTGAGGTAGACAGTCTGATGACAAATAAGGTACCCTTACTAGCGCTGTCCTCGCCAGGACCCTCATCCCTCATTTGAAGGCATAGCCATAATTACCCTGCGAATTACAGGGCATTGTGTGAAAAGTAAATGAGAATCAGAGACTAGAAAGTATTTTTTTTTAAAATTTCATCAGCACTGAGCAGTTTATTTGTAAAACTACACGGTCCTACACTTAAACTACGCGACATAAGTTACATTATTTTTTTTTTCGCGAAGAGGAGTTTGAGAAATATTTTATTCCGAAGTTTCCTTCATTTTACTGCTTATACTAAAATTTCAATTAAAGTGATTTCCATTCGTCTAAAACTTTCTATTATCCGAAGTTAGTTTAAACAGTCAATTTCTATTTAGTAATTGTGAAACTCATTTATTGCCTTAACTACAATAGGTATTCTCATAGAACGTAATAAAAAAATAACTAGGAGTTTCAATTTTTAAGTAGGTGCTGGCGTCAGACCTTGAACAAGAAACACCAGTACAAGTTTGTAAATAAAAAGTGAAGAAAATGAAAATGACCCCTGAGGACTGGAGGGGCAAGTCTTTAAAATAAAAGAAAAGTATGTTATTTCCGTGAATTTGTGATGTATAAAAGGGGAAAGCTCTTCGAGTAAAGCAGATGATAAACGAGACCTGAGTTTTTACTAATTACTTGTATACATTTTTTTAGTTTTCTTTATTTGCCAATGGAATTAATTTCACCAAGGTCACTAACTATTAAATGATGAATCCCGAGGAAGACAAGATATGTGTATGTGTTTGGCTGCTCTACTTTCAATAGTTTTTGCCGATTTGTGAATGGCGGTGAGAAGATATCGACGCATTGGACCCGAAAGTAGCCTGCGTTTTGCAGGCGCTTGCCAACGCGACAGTCAAATAATTTTACAGTTGATGGTTGGCCAGGAGTTACTAAGCTTCGCATTGTGAATCCATATAGTTCCAAGGCTTTATTTCGCCTCAACGGAAAAATGTGACTCGTGGTAAAATTATCAGCTAAATTAGAAAAATGGAAGCGATCTGGATCATTCCTCATTAGCCTTAAGATATGAGCGAAAACACATGTTTTGCTGGCATACTCACTTGTTTAGTATACCGTATAGGCTTGGTAGGCTTAAGTTTCGTATTTTACCATAAAAACACGAGCCATGAAAATAACTTTGAATTTGTGTTTAATGGGGATTGATCAGCTTAAATAGGGTGTGTTGGCGGAAGTTCTAAGGGAAAGGCTTTAAATAAACTATTATCATACTATTTGCGGTATGTTCACACATCGCGTAGAACTAACAATGTTACCCGGAGCGTAGGAGGTCTTTAGTTCGATTCCGGGCGGAAACGTCTCTCTCCTTTTTCCCTTCCTTTCTTTTCGTTTATTATTTTTTAGTTATTGCAGTTTTGTTTTGTTTCTTTAGATAAAGTCACAGTTTTTTTAACATTTATAAGCTTTCTTCCCTAATGCCTTATTTCCCTTTCTTCCTACTCGTTGCCGTTTCCCCGAAGTGCTCCGCGAGGTCCTGCTATTCACGTATTTATAGTCTACATGCATCCTGGAAATTTACTCGAAATCTTTCGATCTCGTCCACGTGCGTTTTACGTGTGTTGTCATCGCACAAGAGTGAATACCCTGGATAATAAGAAAGCCAATCGACGGTACTGCGCATCTTCTAATCTTACATCCAACAAGTTTTGGCTTTTTCGCGCTATTGTAGAGAAGAGTTTTGGGGCTCGCATAAGGCCCGCCAGCAATAAATAAATAAATGAACGAATAAATAAATGAAAAAATAAAAGAAACAAGCACTGCAAAAATACACACATACACAAAATAAATAACAAACAAAACAGAAAAGACATAACTACGATAAGTCTTTTACGTTTGTGGTAAGGACATGTTTCATTCGTGTCAGTCCAGCGATTGAACCCCATTGGAGTCATTGAAAACTTCCATATAATGCCGCTGTCAGCAAAAACTCTCTTAACCTGAAATAAGATTCCACTGTGAACGCTTTGGCACGTAATTCTTCTTCCTGGGGTCATAGTCAGAAAAAAATTCTTCGTAATAATTGTCATTATTTCCGGTCTTTCCACTACTTGTCGCTGGAAAAAGTCGATAGGGAACCATCTCATTCAAATGATACCTCTCACTATCTCGTCCATATTCCCAGTTATAAGGTCTTCTTTTCTCAGCAAACTTTCCTAAAATTTCCGCCTGCTTTACAGTGGACGAAGCCTGTGGTTGCCTTGATCGATTGATGATGGCAGCACCCAAAGAATTGCCGGCAAAAAAGCTCAGTTTGTCATCTTGCGGACCACGTTCATAAAGTTGTCCAGCTCCTAATATGTTCGCTAGGTTTCTATTCCTGTAGTTTACATTATTGTATTGCGTACTGCTCTTATAACTTCCACGGTTCTTTTCAGCGCTAAATCTACTCGACGTTATTCTAGGAGCACCCCTCATGAGAGGAGAATTAGCCAGATTGTTGGTGTAAAAATTTGAATTTTTTGAAACGCGCCCCAGTGCTGGGTTTTGTTGAAAGTTGTATTTGTCTTTATTTTGAACTTCATCTGAAAGGGTCTGCTTTGATTGTTGTTGCACTGGGCGAAACCATGAAAGTAATTTAACATTATTTTTTATTGGGTCGGTTGAGAGCTGTTTGCGAGAGCTATCCAGTGGTGGCTGAAACTTTGCTGATTTATTTGCGAAATAATTAAATTTTCTCTCCTGCACCTTTTGCAACGACGAGTTGGTCTTGTGCTGGGCTAATTCTGAACGGGAAAATGCCAAAATATTTCTGCAGTATAACTGGTTGAACTTGCCCTTCGCAATGTTTTTGAAAACGTCATCGTCAATCCTTGGTTTGTAGCGTGCAACGATGTATGTGTAAGGTTTGCCGTTCTTTATTGTATTCGCCTTTCCAATGCCTAGTTCTTTGGTATTTTTCCAGATAACTTGCATAAAATGAATGGCTAGCGGTTCATAGCCTCCTTTTGCCCAGTCATAAAAGCAGACTTCGTTATACCTACATGGTAAGAAAACACAAAAATTAGTTTCAACTGTGACTTGATCGAAAAGATTTCCACGGTGAATCCCCAAAATACAACAACAGCAACAACAAAATTTTATTTCAAGAATTTTAAAACTTAACTAATTACACTGACGCGGAGTTTACAATTGCAAATCTAGGACATAAGAACAGGCAACTGAATGTTATTACATACTGACACAGTTAAAGAAACTATAACTTTAAAAGTTGAGAAAAAAAATCAATTGAAACTTTAAAGACTTAATTAAAGTAATTATTTAACCAGTCGAACGTTTTGTAAAATGGTAACTATTTTATTTTCTTGGGTAGATTTCGCAAGGTACACGGTATCTCATTCCACAGTTTTACGCCAAATCTGAAAAAAATTACATTGCCTATATATCTCTAACCCAGTGCTTTTGCACGTAAAAATCCCATGGAAAAGTGACCACCAGCTATCGTCAAAAGCAATATTACCGCTGGCAAGAATTTAAACTTGGTTTATTTAACAATTATTCCACGAGTGTGCGTTGGATATGAGATGGTGGATAGCCAAATAGGCGCGTAGCGCCGAGTATGTTTTTAAATCTCATATCCAACAAGCGCGAGTGGAATAATTGTTTTATCAAAAACGCCCACAAAATTTCGAGAATTGTTCCAAACTTTATTTGTAAAAACAACCGATTTTCAGGTTGTTTTTAATTTTGAGCAGACGCGTACAGTTACCATATTTGGAGAGCATGGTATAATGGCTCATATGACTAGTCCGATCACAGCTCTGGAATTGCATAATCCAGTGATTCAGTTTTTAATAACAGTGGTTATAACATAACTAGAATATACGCCTAAACAAATTCAATAGCGCAAGCGTAGTTCATATTCCCTTTGAACACGCTGATGACGTCACCAAACTATACCTCGAGTTCTTGTGAGCTTTAAAGTAACCCGGCCAAGACGTCTCCCAAGTGCATCCATAACTTAACGGCGCACGATGAAGTGTTTAAAACGTATTTTATAACGTAAATTTAAGAGAAAACGTTTTAATTTGTTAACCGATAGTCCGTAAAAGAGGCGCGTGCTGTTGTTGTTTTTGTCATCTACGGTACCTCTGCGGGCCATCATGCCTTGGCGTGTGCAAATCATTCTTCGCAAAGTTGTTTCCCTCCAAAATAATTTTTTGGTGAATTAATAGTTTTTCGGCACCTCAATATGCATTTAACAATCTTTTTAAATGTTATCTTAAGCGACTTGAATGAACGTACACTCGGTTTCAAGATAAAGATCTAACTGTGAGGTAAAAAAATGTGGTCAGGTAGACGCGTACCAGTGCTTTGAGCGCACGCTAAAATAATAAATTTTTACGTTATCTACAGCATTGATGTCTTCGATAATGTTATAAAACAACTAGTTTATGCTTCAGCCGTTGCGTATTTCGAGATATTGCATGAGCACTAATGGGAAGTCTGGATCGCACTCTAGAGGCTGGAGTAGCACTCGGCTGCCCCTCGAACAACTCTTACTCCTCTTTCGTGCACTGCAAACTTCTCGCGTGCTCAATATCTCAACATACGCACGCTGACGCTTGACTTATCAACTGTGGGAATGAGATGGCAGCTTTTTGAAGGGCTAAAAGCAAATCGTAGCTAAATTTAGATCTTTCAAAGCTAAGTAAGTCTATTGAAATCACCCATAACATATAATATAACGAACAATGAATTTGCCCCTCACAACTGCTCGGACAACAGAGGTAGTCATTTAGTTGCCCTGTTTCGGTAAATTTTCGAGACCGAGAATTTTATCGGTGTTTTTTATCGTTATATAGGGGCTTTTTCAAGGTTTCACTAATTTGCTTACTTACCTATTTGCAAATCATTCTTACGTGGCTAAAAATATAAATGCAATGATTTGCATTATTGAACTTGGTTAAATATTAGTGCGAAAAACCTATAAACTCGTAAAAAATCTCCCAAAAATTAGTGTTGTATGTTCAATACCGACATCATTGAAAATAAGTTATTCATTCATATATTTATTTGACGAAAAAGATCGAAAAGTGAGCTACCCGAGAAAAAACTCCGAAGAAAAGACGAGAACCAATTTTGAACAACCTTAACTCACACGGTCGCCTCGCCTCCAGATTACAAAGCTCGGTCTTCATAATTGAAGGCAATATTTTTCCGTATAATGCGTCATCCACCCTTCTTTAATGAAAGGTCTTTTTCTTCAATGATTTATTTGTTCCTTACCAGTTTTTAACTGCACCATAAGCAGTTAATCCTCCAGCACGACTACCTCCTGCAGCGATGTTTTCGCCCTCATTTTCTTTTGTAAGGACGAATTGATCTTCGTGTTTCATGGGAAGGTTTTTGGCACCGTTTAGAGCAAGTTTCCTTGCAAAGTGCTCAGCTTCTTTGCTCATATTTAGATTGAGCCTTAGCGGCAGTGCGTCGTGAATCAGACGAAATTTGTTGTGGTAGTCCAAAGCTGACTTGGCGAAATCTTCACCTGACAATAGTAACAAAGATTGAATAAGCAGGTCAGAAGGGCCAATTTCCTATAATATAACCGGTAACTGTTCCTTTGTCGCTTATTACTAAATGGAAGAAATCATGTCTCCACGTCGCATCTTGGCAATGGCAAGAATTGAATAGCTTGAATTGAATTGAAAACTTGTTTTTTAATATAAAAACAGAGTCAACGCTTTAATTTTTTTTCTTTATTAATATTCCGTAAAGGGAAGCTAACCCTAACTAAAGCGGAAGTACGCGTTAACTTTACGCATTTTTTTTTACAGCAGAGTTTGTGAAGATATTATTTCAATAATAAAGTAAGTATAAAAAGTTTTCAGGATACCAAAAAGTGGTAATAAAATCAACCATGAGACGAAAACCTACAAGTTGCTCGAGATTTCCCAAAAAAGTTTCCAGTAATTTCTCAAAAAGTTGGTCAAAAATTGCTCAAAAAAAGTCAAATGTTTGCAGTGAATGCTGATATTTTTTAGGTCGTGTACGCACAACAGGAAACACTCGTCACTTCCCTGCTACATTTTAGTAAATTCAAACGTTTTTATGTTTTAATTATGATATTAATGAAATGTTTAGCGCCAAGGCTGTGTGACCATCCAGGTAAGGATGCACTAGAGAAGTTTCTACTTGGTTCTAAGAAATCCAAAACCTAGAAATGCTTTTGGCTATCGTTTCGAGCAATTTTTATCAATGCTTCGTTCGTGCCTACCTAACGTTTACCCAGAGTTCGATAGCTACACGCTGCATTTTAAGAATTCTTGATTAAATAGATTCAGAATCGGTTTAAAGGGCAAACGCCAATGGTCAATTTTTTAATATTTTACCGGTTTGAACGTCTCCGAAGACAGGACTGCTGGTAATCACGGTTGCTTGCTTAACGACGGTTTCGTCTTTCCTTTTCAGTGGTACTATCGACTCATTCGTGACCAACAGCGGTCGTAACACTTGCGACGCATTGGTTTGGTCATTTATCAGCTCAAAGTGTACATCCATAAGGGTCCGATCTTTGTCAACTCGTCCAAATCCTTCAATTCTTATATTACCTAAGGGTAAAGTTCCTGTGATTTATTAATTAGTATTAATTTAGTAGAGGATCAATTTTAACTAAGCCTATCCGCCTCTTTTTTCGTATTGCCTATAATACACCCTGTATGTGCCCGAAACTATTGCAGAGCCGTTCTTTTTATTTTCTCCCGGGTAACACAGTCATCACAGTACAATTTGCACCAATGCTCAAACGTGTTTTGAGGGTGTGGGCAAACACGTTTGACAATGCAAACTGGTGAACTCATATTTTTTCTTATAAACTCTGTGCAAATTTGGCAAGAGGGCTAAGATATTCTCTATAGATAAAAAGTGTAAAGTTGAATGTGCGGTTTAAATGCTACTAAAAGAATACAAATTGTGTGGCTGCAAGTTTTAGAAAACGTTTTCATAAAGAAAATAATAAATAAAAACGAATAACGAAATAATAATAATAATAATAATAATAATAATAATAATAATAATAATAAAATAAAAAATAAAATAAAATAATAATAATAATAATAATAATAATAATAATAATAATAATAATAATAATAAATGGGGAAATGGTACGGGATACGGCTCTGCGAACAAAAGGTTCGGGGCATCCCTCAGGCGTTGATGCGAATGGGCTCCGGTGAACTCTTGCATTAAAGTCATGCAAGAGTTATTGATCGCATCTGAGCCGCAATGAATGTATTTGGGAAATCGTTATTGACACAGTGATTGTATTTTATATGATTTATATAATTCTTAATGTTATGTAGTGCTTAATTCTTACCTCAAATATTTCTGAAATTATGTGCATATTTTAAAAATTTGAAAAAAAAAAAAAAGATTATTATTATTACCTCCACTATTATTACTTTGACATCGAAAGAGGACTTTTACGACGCTTAGAGAAAAAATATTGAATGTTGCATATTATTCGATTATTACTACCACTTTATATTCTGATCGTTGTTGGTTCATGCTGAAATCGTGGCAGATTTTATAGAGGAATTAGTGAAAAGATGTTTAATATTGGTACTGACTGCTAATAGTAATAGTAATAATAATTAGTAGACAAACATTTTCGTGGATTATATTTCAAGAGATATTGAGACATTATGATCTTTTCTTTTCTTTCTAACAGATGTTAAGGCACAAATTTCGTTTTAATTCTTTTTAAGTGAAGCATTTTACATACGTCTTTTTTATGAGTATTAAATACATTTTTTATCATTTATTTATTTATTTATCCGCATTTTTTTCACAATAACAATAATAATAATAATTATAATTATAATTTTATAAAAGAATATAATTATAATTTTTATAATTATTATTATTGTTAATTATAAAATTATAATTATAATTATTATTATAATTATTAGTGTTATTGTGAAAAAAATGCGGATAAAAGTTTTTGAATAGTTCAAGAGCAAACTCCCTCCCAAAGAGCTTGCTTGCAGGCTAGGTTTTGAACCCCCTAGTAACCCGTTGCCGCTTGAATAGAGTTAATCAATGAGGAAAATGACTGGCCAGCTGCAGGTCGGTTTTGCTTTACCTAAAATCCTTAAAACCAGCATTCTGTGGGTACTAAAAGGTAGTCAGAGTAAGCTTTTAGTTAATTAACCGAACTGTCTTGTTCTCCGACATGTTTGCTTAAAGATGACAATAAACCGAACTAAAAAGACAATGTTTTGGATGTTTTGAATAATGTATTGAATATTGCTTGCGCCTTTTCGATCACTTTCAGCTGCCCATAATTAGCTTTTGCAAACTTAAAAAGAGAGAAATGTAGGCACCTGTGGAGGTTGAATCTTTGATCAACAGGACCACGAAAAGTGATAATAACATTGTTTTGATATCTTCACCTGCAAATAATAATTATAATAAGAAAAATGAATTAGAATAAGATAACTAAATAGAACAGAGGTCGATAATATATTAAGAGTTTCCTGAAATGGCAAAATAAGCAGCAAATAGCTCAGTAAACTATGCTGTGGATCGTAGGAGTTAACAATCTGACAATAAAAATGTAAGGGCGTATATAACCTTAACCCTACCACCTTGAAAACTAGATTTAAATTAAACTACGCAAGGCTCAAAATGGGATACTTCAATAAATTAAATACTGGGTATTATCGCAGTGAAGAAATGCCAATTAAGCAAAGGCAGTGTGTCACATCTTTACATCCCAACGAATGCATTCTTTCAATAGATGACTGGGCGTGTGCGTCTTGCAAGGCATTACAACCAGCTCCGGTACCAGTTTTTTTTAAATTTTTTTGTATTTTTCCCCCGCGCGAAATAAGAAACATCATTAAGCGGATGTGAATCATATGGAATATAAAAGTAAAATTAGTGATCGCAGGAAAACCAAATTAATTTTATCTTTACCGTGTTCAATTGAAGAAAATTTGACACTCTCCTCAAATGGAGAAGTATTATAGCTTTTCTTTCCTAGTTTGACAAGTTGTTAAGAATTTCTTCATGTTTGAAGCGATATCCTGAGGGTTAACGCGACTTTTTGAGATAAAGAGGCTTTTTTTCTTTTTTTTTCTTTATATAATCAGTACTCAATTTTAGCTGTTACCTTTTATCTCACTTTAGTCAAGGATTTGTTAAATCATTTGTTGCAGGGTTGTTGACTTTCTGCTTCGCTTATCTTATCATCAGAACATTTATCTTAACCGTTACAACTGGGACACGCCAGAAACAATGCACGTTATTGAGAATGGTGTCCCAGAACTTGAAACATTAAATCACTTGGTTCATTTGCAAGTAAATGCAGAGAAGATTTTACTGCTGCTTTATGGTTTGATCATATGCTATGCACCATCTTGATATTGAATCTTCTCTAAAACACTTGTCGTTAATTATCAGTAAATAATAAAGTATTTAAACAAAATTGGAATAAATTCAAAAATATTAAATAAACAAAGAAAGAAATATTCAATTTAAATTCTACCGGAGAGCCTGTTTTTTTTTTTCTTTCAGGAGGCAGCAGTAATCCGCGTCGCTTATAAGAAGGGAGTACAATACTGATTCCTAGAGTTGTTCAATTGTAAAACCAGGTGATATGAATTATTACTCATATGCTTTCATCGTTTCGTCATTTTGATGTAGTACAAGAAGTAGTTGAACCGAACTTATGTATAGTCACAAAGCTATATCATGATTTTTACCAACTCAAATCACATTCCTGTGTTCATAAATCGGCGGAAAATCCATTACGTTTTATGTTCTACTCGTTATGGCTCATCCTTGAAGGATTTTTGCTGAGATTTTGAACTCATGGTGGGTTGTTTCCTGTCAAACACCAGTGACATAGCAATTAATTACAGGTTTTTTTTTAAATCTATTTCTTTTCAGAATGATGAGTGCAATTTCGGAAACTGCCAATTGACGTCCCATAAGATTCTTGGATCCTGAAAAACCAGTACAGTAAGCCTGAAAAACATCGATTCCAATAAAATCGGAAAGAGAAAGATTACCTCAGTTAATGTGGCGTCCTTTTTTGGGTCCAATGGAGCGAATGAAAAATACAGCCAAACCTCCCGTAAACGACCACCCCAAATGCAAAGGTTTAGTGGTCGCTTACGGGCGAGTGATTGCTTACGATAAGCGAAACAAAAGAGGTATATTTCTTGAAGAGGACCGAGCACAATACATTTTTAAAAGAATTGCGCATGCAGTTTCTAAGTTATGATATGTGTAGTTTCATGTAGTCACTAAAATTGCACCGTATTCTCTTTGTAGTGTAATATATACGGCGAGTATAGAGATCAAACTGTGTCTTTACGTGGTCGCTTACAAGGCGATAAAAACAATTAAAACTTCTGAGGCCGTCATCCAGAAAGTGGCCGCGGTCGTTTAAGAGACTTAGTCTTTTGCGAGAGGTTGCAACTGTAAGGATTTCTCTGGGAAAATTATATGGTGTTTTGGATAGGGTGTCGCTTACGAGACGTGGTCGCAAATGGAGGTTCCAATGTACATGTATGTCAGAAAAGTCAGTCACTTTGTTGAGTTAGCCAGCCAATGCAACTTGTAGTGGTGCAAGCTTGTGCTTGATATTGATCTTTTGCTTCAACATAGCAGCGATAGTACCATTAAAAGAGTTGCATCATGCTGGTCACAGACTAACATTTGGACTCACCTCCGATAAACTCGGAAGCCTTTTTCTTTCGTTGAATGTCGTGACCATGGAATGGGGTGAAATAGTGTCATGGCTATCAGTATAACCCAGTTTGGAATGACACTCATGGATTGGGCCCTCATTACCATCTTGATAACGGCTTTTTGCCCACACATAGCATGAAAAATGGAGCTGTACAATCGCCTAAAGGGTTTTGTCACAACCTAATCTCAGAACTCACCTTATATCAAGCAGCCAGTCTTGGCGTCCAGCGGAACGCGAGCAAACAAGAATGATAGGTAACCAATCTGGGGTTGTTCCGTAAAAACAGGTATCAGGCAACTAAAAGATACAAGATAAAGATAAAGATAAAACATCTTGAGATAATTGTTTTCCTCAACTCCTTCAAGTTGTGTTCTGTTTGCAGTACCACAATACTTTTCTGTTGACAAAGAAAAAGATGACGAGGAGGACAACAATAGAAACGTGGCGAAAAAAATTGAGGTAATTTGGTGGTGGTGGTAGTTGTAGTAGTGTTTTGAGGACAATGGAGGCGATGGAGGAAAAGCATGATGAACGATAGTAGCGAAGAAGAGAAAACAATAGAAATGAGAGTGGTGGTCTTTGTGTTGAAGGGAAAACAAGAAATATGCATGTGTCATCTTACTGATCTTGGCGCAGAAGTGTACAGAGAGCTGTCTTACCTGGAAAATGATATCCGAACCCTTCGATCCGGTGTCGACCATTTAAATGGCTGGAAAACTCTGTGGCAGCTATTAAGGTTCAACCAAGAAAATGCGTCACAACGCGCAAGACATTTCTAGGCCTAAAACATGTTCAACAGGTCGAGTAACCTAAAAAGCACTTCATCTTATCCTAATGAAATTTCCCAGCAGTTCATTCATGATATAAAGACAAAAGGCTATGACGTCGTGGGCGTTAATGTATTCATCTGCAAAGTAACGAGGTTCATTCTTATTTTATTCATGAGATAAATACAAACGGTTTTAACCTAATCGGTGTTAACGTATTGGTGCGCAGGTTTATTAGACTTCTGCCCATGCCAAAAAAAGGGTTAATCCTTTGCAAGCAACTCATGAAAGTGAAATCGCGCAAATGGAAGCTCATGTGTTGCTCATCATTAAGGACTTTAAGATCCCACGACACCACCGCAACGAGAACGTAAAAAAAAAAAAACAACAACAACAACAACAAACAAAAAATAGGTTTAATAAGCAAAACAACAACTTTGCACTATTTTGTACACTTCTTTGCTATCACTGCACGACTACGAAGTGAAAATGCCTACTTTCGCGTTTTATGGAGGACGTAAAATTTTATTTATCTTTCTGAACTTGCATTTGGTCCCTTGAAAATCAACTTCAGGAGGGTTCGCCTACATTTGAGAAAGTAAGTGGGTAGGGATAATTGCTATAAAGTCTGAAAGAACTCAAGTTCACTTTTTTAAGCGACGTTCTCGTTGCCGACGGGTCGTTGGATCTTAAAGTCCCCATTAATAGATGAATGCCACACTTAGAAGAACCCGATTAAGTTATTACCTACGTTGCCTCAAAAGCTGACTTTGAGGCCAAAATCTGTTTTAATTTGTATAATTTTAGTTTAATGGAAATGGAACCTGTTACTTTGACAGGATACCCGAAGAAGAGTAACTACATGACAGCACTATTTCTAGGTAAGTGATTCTATTTCACTTTGTCCTGTTTTGCCATACAAAGATGCGCATGCCCTGCTACATGTCCGCCATAATGAAAGCTTTCCTTCTCTTTTGTTTCAATATGATTTAATATAACGTGACGTGATAAAAGTACTAGGTCTACTAGAGGACATGCTGAAATCATAACAATAAATTTTTCACTTTGCAGCATTATACCAGTTTAAGTCAGTTTCTAGTTTATGCCGGGTTTAGAAAATACTTGCTAAGCCAATATGATAATACTCAGGATGGCGATGATGGCGGTTGTTATTGCTGTTATAGTCAGCTATTCTACTTTTACTTGCCCATGACAATGAACCACACTGAGCTAATTTTCATTACAGGGACTTCAATGCACAGCTCTTATTTGCTTTTTTGATAAAGCGAGGCAGACTTCTCTCTAGGTTGTGCGAGTGTTCTATTTTGAGCGTTATGAACGCCACCGTGTAACAGCAGCGTGGATTGAAATGATTTTTTTAAAAAATAAAACAACCCAATACCGCTTCAATTTAAAATTGCGCTGTAGTTTTAGATCAAGATACTCGCCTGTCAACTCTTGACATCGCTCTAAATCACTCATAGAAACAAAATGTAAGACAAGTCAACAGAGGTAGGGTATTTTAATAAAAACTTCGTTTATATATTTTTAAGGGGAAGTAAAAATCGTAAGTTATTTCCCATATAAGTCCATATAATTTCTCTGTTAGCCAACGGATGTCGTGGAACTCAAGTAATGAATGCTGAGACAAAGCTGAACAAAAGTCACACGGTCTTTTGGCCCAAAAGCTTTGAAAACCATTATGATGTGAAGCATATCTACACTTGCATGTTTTATAACTTTGATAAATACTTTCCTTTGATGAGGTCATGCACCAAAATAAACATATTTCATGCTTCATCGATTTTCATCATTATAAATTATACGTGTATATTCTAGGGCGTTAAGACTTGCTTCAGTCTGGCACAGTAATTCTAATAGTAAGGTTTTACTTCCTTTAATGGCCCTTTGTCCCTCTTCACGCCAGTGTCATCTGCATCCATCGCCACAAAGTTATCGGGTGTTTGCACGTACGAAATATGCGGTAAAAACCTGTTTGGTGACTTAATATCAGGCTGTTCTTTTAAAACACCCTCTGCATCTTGGTCGTCCAACTCTTTCTCGAAGGACGACAAAGGAACGAATGTTATCCCAGAGTTATCTTCCGCAGCTACCTGAAAACCCTTAAGTGATTTAGCACTAGGAGGCAAATTGTCATTTTCTTGGTACATGGCTCGTTGGTCTGATTTCGAGTCCCTCGTAGCGAAACTGCTTGGGTAACCTGTAGACAATAGGCTTTCATCTCCGTCGGCGTTGCAATATGAAGGAGCGAATAGCCCTGGGCCGATGTTTCTCTCGATGTCTAAGGCATTAATTTTTCCAGGTCGGTAAAGAGCTACAATGAATGCACAAGGCAAACCATGGAGATCATTCAGGGCTCGACCGATACCGACCTTCCGTGTTCCCCTCCACACCAGCTGCATAAACTCTTTAGCTTTCGGTTGAATCTCCCGCTTGTTCCAATCATAGCGGCATACTTCCGAATACCTGCGCAAGGGAGTTTCGTAAAAAGAAGCGCATGAAAATAAATTACCAAGAAACATGATAAGCTGAGACCCAGTTATACTGAATATGAAAGTAAAGAGCAGCACTGAACAAAACATCAAAGCGCGTCTCCATATATTTTCCAACTTAAGCACACCACTCATTACCATTTCCCTATATACAACTTGGAAAAGTATCTCAAAGGAAACAAGTGTTGTTTCAGCACAACGTGGGACGGTTATCATCAATATTTTACCTAAAAGTGTATCCTGCGTGAAATGAAGATGATAACAACTGCGAAAATGCAAATGTATGCCCGAGTGTATTCTGGCTGGGTTATTTAAGAACTCTGGGCTGAGTTGCACAAAGCATGGTTAACTTTAACCATTGGTTAAGCAGTATCAAAACCAATACGTTGTCAAGGTATTAAACGCTGGTTAACGCTAACCATGCTTCGAGCAACTGGACCCTAGTCGCTAGAAAACACGCAACTTAATAGCCCTGTAACGTTTGTCACACTAACGTTTTGCGTTTTCTTCTTTTCTTTTTCTCTCTTTCTTGCTGGAGTCGGAACTCAACTAAGCATTTATTTTATTGATCGCTGACTCACTTACTGACCACTTACCAACGGTGTACTGCGCCACTCGCCGTTAGGCCACCCCACTCACTGCATCCTCTCGCTATATTTTCGCCTTCATTCTCCATATCAACTTTTTTGCGGGCACCGTCTGGTTTTGTTAGTAGTTGGGCAAGTTGTTCTGCTTCTATAGACAACTGCGGGTCAAGTTCTAGAGGTGGTGCGTTGTGGACAGAACGGTATTTGTTGTGTGCCATGAGAGCTTCTCGTTGAAAATATTCATCTACATCCCAACACGATAGAAATGCCAATAAGTTCGATCGTGTAAATTAATAATCTTGTTCAGTTTCTCAATCCCGTTTCAGTATACGATTACTCGTGTAATTATGGGCTTCTGGGAAAGGTTAATCCTTTGGCGACTGCCCAAGAAAACCCACTTTTTACTAAGACAACCTTTCTGGAACGTCTTTCGGCCTATTTGCATTAGATGCTAAGAAGTGATTTACTTGCAAGGCTAATTGACAATCCAGACAGTTTCGCTGACAATTTGATGACAAGCATTTTTAGGCTGAAGTTAAACAACGTTGCCCCGTTTGAGAAAACAGGTTTTGTGACGTCATGGTCCAAGGAATGTCTCGTGACGCTTGTGATAAATTTTTCAAAACTATTTTAGTGAGATTTGTCTTATCATATCTTTGTGGAACCCTTTACTTGGATCCTTCTGCCTCATTAAAAAAGATCTTTGCATTCTTTGTGTGGGGTCTTTTTAGCCTTTCAGCGCATGCCTCAACTTGCCTGAGTATAAAATCAATCGCCACTGATTGTTATGGAACATGCTATGGCCCCGGGGGTCTTGAAGTGTTCTACTGTGTTGGGTTAGACTAGCTAAATGTACTACTCGCACTGATCAAGGGTAATTTACCTGTCTCGTTTCCATAAAAGGGGGATCCAAACTCATCAACGGGCATGTAACCCTGGACAGAGGGTGGAGAAGACAGGTAGTTAGCAGCATATTGGAATCCTGGTAAGAAGCCTCCCTGATCGTCTTCCTCGTTGTTGTTATCATCGGTCCTTTGAAAATTGTACATCAGGTCATTGGAATCACCGTTGTACCGATCGGTATTTTCTTCATTCTGTGCATGGTCGTTTATGTTACTTATTCGATAATTTGTAAATGGTGTCCCTTTGTTTTGTCCTTCTTGCAGAACTTGTTCCTCCAAGTAAATAGGTTTGTCTGATGCCACCGTCTGTTCTCCGTATTTCGATTGTTGATTTACTGGTGTCGTTTCTTGTGTATTTACCCCCGTTGGACTCATTCCCACAGAAGGAGATGTAGTCCCCTTCCAAATTTCGTCCACATTATTTACCCCTGAGACTTTTCTACTTTGTCCATCTCCATATAAATGTCCCAAATTCTTTTGACTAAAGTTCAGATTTATTACCGGCAATCTGCTTTCGCCTTGAGGAATGGACGTACTTTGAAAATATCCATTGCTTGATAAGTTGCTTGTTAGCTCGTCATTTGAATGATTTACCTGCAGTTTGATATGATTCTTAAAACCCTGTAAACTGGAGGAGGTAGTGGTATTGTGTACACTTGCCAAAAAAGAATCTAGCATATTATTAGTTGGCTGTTGTTTCCTTTGTTTACTACTTAATGGAGCGTTCACTTTAGTTACTGTCGTGACGGGATTTGACTTTCCATGGCCAGGCTGATGTGCTTGTAGATAATTTGCGGGAGGGTTATAGTCAATTCTGTTACTGTCCGAGGTATTTACCTTGTAGCTCCCTTTGGCAAATTCATCATCGTGATCGTCTTCAAATTCCATATCCTTTCCACTGGTGTTCCTACCGTTATTTAGGCTGCCAGAATTATCGTTTTCTGGGAGCAACATCAATGGCTTTCCTGTCTTAACAATTTCCGTAGACGAAATTCCAATCGACGAATAGTTTCGTATCTTGGATTGATGTTTCATTTCTTTGATTTCCTTTAGTTTTGTGCCATATTGTTGGAAAAGAGGTTGTCCAACCATTTCGTACTCTACGTCATTCATATGCCCTTTTTCAGTAGTTACAGTTATGGAATCATTTAGTAAATTGAGTGCTTGTCTCGTGTCGTTGATTTTTTTAAATTTCGTGGTAGTGGGGGATAAAAGTGGTCGTCCCACCCTTTCGATTTTTACGTTATTCATTTGCCCTGCTCCAGTAGTTCCAGTTATGGAATTATTTGGCAATTTGAACGCATGTCTTACGCCTTTGATTTCTTTAGGATCTGTGGTGGCGTAGGATGAAAGCGGTTGTCCAACCTTTTCGATTTGTACGTTAGATACATTCTCTGTCCCATGGAAGGTCCTTTTCCCATAATTCGCAGCAAACTTCCTCAAATGCAAAGAACGCAACTTGTTTGGAACAGGGATATTATAAGCAAAACTTGAAAAGGCGTTATCTTTGTTTATTATACTTGGTCTCCTTATTTTATCCGTTGTGATTTTATCCTGAAATTTGTGTCCGGTCATCGAGTGTCCATGATAACGAAATGCCATCCGCCCGGCTGATAAGCCTGAAGATACGAGAGAAAGAATGGATTATTACTACCAGTTGCAGCTTGTAGTAACTGTGTTAAGCCAAGAGAATGATCGACATTTACTAAAGCAATTTGACATTGACATAATACCCACTCTATTACCGTGATAAATACAATATTTTTACAAGTTAATGCTACCCTGATTTCGGAGAGTCAATTCGAGCATGGAAATGAGATTCATTGTAGGTTTTATGATTCGGCCATAAATTTCGCAAGTAAACAATAGGCAAGAAAAGTAAGAACGTCTACAAAATATTGATAAAGATGATTACATGCCGTCTGTTTTGAAAACAAAAATGTTTCTATGAAGCTTACTTTCGAAGTTTGGGCAGGCGCACCAAGTTTATGGCTACAACACCAGAAACCATGACTTGCTGCGTTCTCCTCTTGCGAAAACTCCTAAGTACCAAGGAAGCTTTAGAATGCTCAAAAGCCGCCTTAGACAGTAGTACCTGTTCATGTTGCCTTTATAACCTAATTAATTGTCCAGCGTCGTTAATGTTTTACTGTCTTTGTTTTGTTTGTGCCAGAGGCCCATTTAAACTAGCCCTGCCAAATTGCATGCTCCTGGATAAATATTGATTTAAAATAAATAAATAAATAAGTAAATAAATAAATATCTGGTCGCCACTAGAAGCTAAAGCCTTTCTACTTGTTCCTCTTTGGACTTCAACATTTTAACAGCATTAAGCACTAACATAAAAAGAACTGCACCTCATCTGGGTGGTTTTAAAACAGTCTCCTTACCTCCTTTTATCGTTACCACAGCCGCCAATATAATCACAAGGTGTTTTAAAGAGTGCATTTTAGATGTTCCGTCAGCAGGAATCGATCTTCCTTAGAAGAATTGATTAAAAATAATTAAAAGATAGGTCTGACAGGTATACCATCATTATGTTTTTGAAATGCAGTTAAATCGAGTTCACACTCGCGATCTGCAAGCATTGCTTCAATTTGTGGAACATCTGACTCACTGACATGCATGCTCCTGTACCACTAGGTGTAGTCAGGTGGCTTAGCATTGCGAGTCAGGTGCAATTTTTGATACAAGCACCAATTTTTGTACGAATATAAATATAAACATTCCTAGACTGGTGATTTCCTGATATAGTGCTAAATTAAATTTTCTAATTCCATCTACTAGCAAATGCAATTTTCAGACCCGATGCCCCGCGGACTTTTTTCTTGCTCTTTTTTTACACGTTTTACTTTCAAAAGACAGATTCGAATGTTTAAATTTGGGCTCGAAGTATTATCTTCTTCCTTTCTTTTTTATACTTTTTATAATTTTCTGGGAAAGTTATTATGTAAATGTAGACCGTAATTTGCAATTTATATGCACATTTTCTTTTCTCTTCTTTCTCTTGGTTCGGATGGGAAAACCTTGTGCATGTCAATTGGAGCAGTTAAAGAGAGTTGAGGCAAAGATATAAATGTGTAAAGAAGATCTTCTTTGAACCCGCTTTGTGTGGGTGATGAATTGTGCATTCGTGAATAATAAGTTGTATTCCGTAACGAAAATGTGAAATCAACTGGGCTTGTTACTTTCCGTTGCCTTGGCAACATATAGTGAAAGTGAAGTGTGTGATAAACGAGACGTACGTGGTAAACATGGTGGTGATCTACCGACTGAAATGATACTATTTCTTGATAAACTAGGACGGATAACAAATTGCAGAAATTTAATAAATTTCATGGAATTGCCGACGCAATTCTGACTTGGCACCCTGTCTGGAACGGTTTGTATTGGTTACTACTCTCACTGGCTAGATTTATGCTTGTATCTTAAAGTACACAATCCCAATTCACCTGAAATTTCAAGCTATGTCACCGGACTAGCGATAAAATGCATCTCCAGGTCTGCTCTCAGAAGCCATGAGAAAAAAAAAAAAAAAATCACCATCACCTTCTAATCAAAGAAAGAGAGGTAACCTTTTCAGATTAAGAGATAATGAATTATGAGTGATTTAAAACTGTGATCTTTTCTCGCACTACACGGACTGTCCTGTAACGCGAGAGAGAGGAATCCTAAATTGTGGTGTTTCACAACACCTGAATGACTTTTCAAGTCTTTGAGACTATTATCTCTTATTCCGTGTTAATAAGTTATAGTATGATGATGATGGTGATAAAATAGTGGTATATAAAGTGTAATATATATCATGAACACAGTGGTAAGATAATATTTTGAGTAATAATGGTTTCTGTTTGAATGCGTTTGTTCGCTGTAGCGGAACAATTATAAATTAAAGGATGGAGTTTACACTAGACACACCAACTTACCCACGTCGTGTTATCCCGAATTCTTCAACCAATTCATCTTTTCTCTATGATCGATCGAAGAAGGCAAACAGAGAGATTTTGCTAGAAATTAGGTCATCACAGTGAAATACTCTTGGCAATTGATGGTTATAATAACGCCTTCTTACAACGCGCGAACGTCAAATTGACGGGTTTAAGTATTCACGTTCAGACAAACTGAAGCTGGCCACCTGGTGAAATGGCTCGTTGCTTGACACTCAATCCATTTCCAAAATTCAAAATTATATAGAACTGAGACGGCAATAGCGCTGAAAAAAGCGATCTGATTGTCTATAGACTCTGAAATCAGTAGTGAGGGGACTCATCTAGCATGGTTTCAGCTAGGTCGGATTTTAAGTGCGATGAGCCTCATTTATTCGCTTTTTCATTTTCCACATGTTTTCATTTTCTTTCATTTTCTTCGTCTTAATGCCTTGCGCAATTCCATTGCACTTTTTAAAATCTTTACGAGTCGAATGTCCCTGGAATCTTGTTTTTTTGGTCTTGGCTGATAACTAATCCCCAGTTAGAGAGATGACTGTTCAAAATAACATAACAATTTTATGCCTGGGCTAACTTCCAAAATCTTCCCCAATATTTCCTCCATTGACCGATCATTTGTGGCTTAAAGCGAAGTAGCTTCAATTTCCCCTCACAGGACACAACCAAGATGAAAAAAACATCAATTCATTCACTATATTATTATTTATTGGATTCAAAGGGTCAATTGCTTCAATTACTTATTGCCTTCGCTTACTTTTCATTTTATGACAATTATTATTTTAATTCACTGATAAGCAATGAACGTATTTTGCAACTCTAGTTTACAGTTACAGTTACGTCATGTAAACGTACAGACAGGCGACGGACTCGTTAAGCAGTTCAAGCGAATAGCCGTCTTTTGTTAAGGTTTGATTTTTTTTCACTCATTTTTTCGTCAGAATTTTCTCAGCATAAGCACGTTATAAAAATTAATTCATACTTACTAGGCTTGGTTTTCTAAGTAAATCTATCTCAAGCTATTTTAGGTTGAGGTTGTTAAAAAAAAAAAATAACAACAGCAAGCAAAAACGAACACAAAAGCAAAGGAAACAAACAAAAATAACAAATTTAAAGGCATTAGAGAAATTTAAATTTTGCACATAAATATGAATCAGTCACATCTCATCCGAGATAGAGACACAGTTGTTAACAATGGGGTCAAAAGTTCCTTTTTTGACGTTTCGCTTAAACTCTTCTTTGCCATCTTTGTTTCCTTGGGGCCTATAGCGGGCTACAATAAACCAACAATGTTCATCGTTAACATCCTTCTGAGCAACCCCGATACCTAATTCATTTGAAGCATTCCACACGAGTTGTGTGAAATGCGCAGTTTCTTTGGAAGCTGGATCAGGGTCTTCAAAGTTATAGCGGCAGACCTCTGCATACCTAAAGGACAACAACAAATTCTAATTTTTAAAACCTTTGCATTTGACAAAAAAATGTTAAGACGAGTATTTTTATTTATTATTACTGTTATTATAATTGGTATTTATTATTATTATTATTATTCTTATTATTGTAATAATAATAATTAGTATAGGTAATAGCATGATTTGTAGTGATATTTGGTATAAATACCGGGAGTGATATTTCGAAACTGTTAAAAGTAAATTTGAGATAATTTCGAAATATAACGAGGCTGCTCTAAGCCCATCAAATTGCAGAAATTTATCATGTAGTTGTATAATACCGGTAGTTATTATTATTGATCTTACTATTATTTCATAAATTTAGACGAGATTTAGTACTAAATGTCACAGTAACCAAATGTGTGGTAGTTGTAAGGTCGAATTCTAATCGAAAGTCGAAGGTTGCACAGATTCTTGGAAATAAATTCTTCTCTTTCATAGTGATTTCCCATTCCCCCCCTTTTTTTTATTGTCCTATTTAATTATCAGGTATTTATAAAATAACTAAGATAGTACGCGCGCTCTGATTGGCTAAGAGGAGTGTTTGCATGAGAGTATGTGAACATGGTTTTGGCGTGAGATGTTTTGCTTTTCGCGCGCTAATCACGCAAGCACGAACTTGAAAAAGTTTTAGTGATCAAAACTCGACAAGTTTACTTTATTTACCCATTCCTTCGTCGGCTGAAACTTGGAAAATCTTTACAAACAAGCTGCGTCAACTTTTTTTCGCTTACGCTGACATTTTAAGCGAGAAAATTCGTATTTTGGAAAGTATCTTTTTGCAAAACAAGAACTGATTACGCGTGCAAGACTTCGTGTACAAGACTTTGCCACTAGTAAGAATTTATCTTTTATCAGTGCTATAACAAAGAGTTTTGCGTTTTTCTCAGGAAACTTATTTTATAAAAGCAATAGAAAACTTTTTCCCGACAGTTATGCAAACCCTCGACTTCGTCTCGGGTTTGCATAACTGTCTCCAAATCTCCCAACCCCTCTCATGTTTATATCAGGCTATGCAAACACGGAAAACGTTTTCTATTGCTTAAGTTTAGTTGCGTTTTATTTAACCTCACGCATGGAAAGGTAAAAAACATTTGGAAAAGCAGTATAATAGGATTGGTCAGTTACCCCATTGAAGGAAGTTAATCAATACTTGCAGTTATTTTAGGGTAGTGAAGGAGATTAGATGACGATCAAGGCTAACTACTTAGAGACAGCGTGAAAGCTCTCCACTTCTTACCAAAATGAGGCTAATTTATTGGAGCTGATTTTAGCGCTATTTTTTCTCTTAACGATAACGACACAAACGAACAAGAAAGTTAGAGATAATAGTTTTCTTACCAAGCCTCGACCACATGTTGTATTATGCTATGTGGATTGAACAGGTCACTTTTGGAGCATATTTTTGCTAAACTTTCGCCTTCGTTCTCTTTATTAAGAACATTGCTCGCTTGATGAGTAAGGCTTTCTTGACCAGCAAGTTTTTCGGCCATTGTACGTGCTTCATAGACCAAATCCTGGACGAGTTTCATCGGCTGTGACAGATGTGTCTTGCGAAAGGCGTTGTGTGCTGCCAGTGCCATTTTTTCCGCTTTTGAAACTGCAAAAACAGGAAAGGTTTGGTAAGTTTGGGTTATGATTGTTGAGGTAGGCAAGCAATTAGAATAAATGTAAAGAAAGGCTTTTGAAAATAGTGTGGGACGTTGAGAGATTGAGTTTAACTCTCGTCTTCTCTTAATTCTTAAATGGAAGCTGCCCCTAGGTAGAACAACTACCAGGCTTCAGGGGACTAGGGCTACAACAAATCATGTCAGTATCAGGTCTGAGAGTCATTGCTAACTTGTACTACTTACATGTGATCATAGGTTTTGATGTAACTTGAAAGGCTTTTCCAGAACCTGAAGGTTGCACTGCTGTGGTACCTTTACCTTGATTTGGTTTCTGAGTTGGTGGGTTACTCCCTAGTCCAGATGTAGGTGGGACTTGTGTAGAAGTTAAGCTTCCAGGCTGGATGCTTGCGGGTTTTGTTTGAGTTGGACTGCTCTTGCTCTGG